TATATATATATATATTGACAAATATATAACTAAGCACGGGCTTTGGCAACAAATATTGGTTTGTAGTTATTGCTAAAAGAGAAAAACAAACACGCACACAAAAGTTGAACAAAGCTAAATAATACACACACAAAAAAAACTTTGGTGGTGAAATAATTTTCACTCAGAAATTGCTAATAAATATCACAAAGAATTACAAAGAATCATTAAGTTACACATTTAATTAAACTTTGAAGTTAGATGTTGAAAGAAATAGTTTTTTTTTTATCGTAAAACATACCCCAATAACCTGTTTTGTTTACAACTTCAAAACAATCTTTTTTTATTTTGTCTTCAATTTTGCAAGTTGCTTTAGATAAAGGCTGATGAAACAAATGCATGTGTGTACTTTTTGGTCATTAAAATAAGTAACTTTTTGTTAAAGAAAACTGTCCTGATCCATGAGGTTCATGTGTGCGAAGACAAAAGGAATGTACAAATATATTTTTTATAATTTTTTTAGACAAAAAAAAAACACTTTTCAATAAAAACAGATAACGTTTGATTGTCATACATGCCAAAAAAAAAAAAAAAAAAACACCTCTAAAAGGTCATTTCTCAAGCACCGATATTTCCTTCATGAAGTGCACATCTAGTCTGAATCAGAGTTTATTTAACAGTGTCAGATCAGTTCATGTGAGAAATCTCTCTTTAGTCTCCAGTAGCTCTGCAGGGCAGTTTGTGTTTGTGAGGCCAATTATTAAGTCCTGACAGTGAGATCCAGACTTTTCTTCTCCTACTGTATCTTCTCTCATATTGCTCTCTGAAGCTGGACTGATGATGATTGTGGGAGCATCTGAGGAGCTGCAGGTCACAGAGTCGTTCTTAGGGTTAAATGAGAGGTCAGAGGTCATATCAGCACTCCCGCTCTTCTTAGTGTAAATGACCATTGGTGCCGTTGCCATGGCGAGGGAACCGGAGACGAGATCTCGCTCGCATAGACTGAACGACTCTCTCATCTGTACCGGAGGCTACAGAACACAAACACACTTGGCGATTGGTTGAATTACTGTATATGGACACACCCCTTCCTGTACATTAATTTGGTCTATAAGTTTTATTCACAAGTCTATTTAAAGGAATAGCTCACCAAAAAATTAAAATTTACTGAAAATGTTCTCATTCTCAGGCCATTCGAGATGTAGATGAGTTTGTTTCTTCATCAGAACAGATTTGGAGAAATGTAGTATTACATCGCTTGCTCAGCAATGCATCCTCTGCAGTGAATGGGTGCCGTCAGAATGAGAGTCCAAACAGCTGATAAAAACATCACAATAATCCACAAGTAATCCACACCACTCCAGTCCATCAGGTAATGTCTGGTGAAGAAAAAAGCTCAATGTTTGTCATAAACAAATCCATCATTAAGACGTTCTTAAATTCCAAAAAACTAAAACGATTCCTCTATCCATAATATTTCTTTATCTAGGGATAAAGTCGTCTCGTCTGATTCAGAAGTGGAATATGCACAGATCAAATGCAAAAACAGTCCAAAACAGTTCTAAACAAAATATATTGGTGGTTTTTGATGTGAGAGGACAACATGGGCTGGACTTTTTTCACTGGAGGAAGCGTTATTATGGATTATGGACTCGTATTTGGGCCGGAAGAGATGATTTAAAGTTAAAATGCCTTTATGAAGGATTTGCTTCTTACAAATACGCAGCATTTTACTTCACAAGACATTAGTTGATAGACTAGGTGTGGATTACTTGTGGACTATTGTAATGTTTTTATCAGCTGTTTGGACTCTCATTCTGACGGCAC